TAAGTACATGTTGACAGCCAGTAAAGCATTGCATTGATCTAAAACTTTTACGTTTTAAGGAACCATTTTGCTTAAGCCAACCATACGACTCAAATTTAAAATTATATTTTAAAAGGCACCGATTTTGATAATTGTCATAGATTCTTGTTCCAAATAAATGTTTCTCTTTATTTACCTTTTCGTTTTATTCACTACCACCAATAGGTTTTACTCAAATAATAGTATTAATTTACACTAGAAGTTTGCACTAAAAGAGTAAAAATACCTTTCTAAAATTGGAACTTTTCCAAAGTAATGTTAATTTACACTGAACAAAAGTGGGATTTTACCCAGGAAGTGTAGAAGTACACGATTTTAGGTAACTTAACACTTTTTAATGCAGTGTAAAATTACTTTATCCTCAGTGCAATAGTGTTAAATCATACTTGCTTACTTGGGGAAAATTACACTACAAATTAACTCCGTGGTTTTCCCGTCGATTTTAAATTTTACCTTTCACTTTTTACGTCGATTGATGCTCATGAAGCTATTTTTTTAAGTGTTCCACAAAATCATAATAAATGTTCAACTATCCCGCAGAAAATTATAATATGTTGCTCTTGCTATCATATCCGCATGATTTCGGATTTCATAGTAAATTGTTTATGTAGCCCCAGATAAACCACAATAACAACTGAACTGTCAGTAATCAATGATAACAAAGTACCTACTAACCGATTTTGAATAAGTTTAAAAGTTTGCTTGCATAATACACTGTGCACATACCTGTTCATTTTTTGCTTGTATAAGTAATATCATTGTTTTAGAGGTAAAAACAATGATAATATATAGTATAGATCAGTGACATACAGTGGCTCCATGGTTTTGTCCAAAAAATTTCATAATTTAAAATATTTTAGTAAGGGTAGCTGGAGGTGATCAAATACCCTATAAGTAAAATCGATAAAGATTTTCCCATAACATCCAACATAAATATTTAATTTCCGTTTGATTCAAAATCAATTTTTACCATTTAAACCTTTAAAATTGTTCTATGCTTTAACAAATAAATATTCTTAAAGTCATCAGACCGTTGCAGTAAACAGTTAATTTATTGAATTCTCTCACAATTATTTTATATAAATAGATGCATCGTCATCGACATACAATTAAATCAATTTTCATATAGGTACTTTTATATTTATTTATTACTACAATAATATTGTAATTAAATGGATTAAGGTGCATTAAACATTTTTTAGCTTCTAACAATACATTTAAAGCATACGAACTGCACATCATTTTTAAATAAATAAGTAATTTTTTTACAAAAGAGAAATGCAGAAGTCTTACTCGACAAATTTTGTTCGCAAAGTTTCAATTGCACAGCTAAATCGCGCAAGTAAACACTAAAAAAGTTTGGTTTAGTACTCGATTTCTATTTATTATTCCTTATATCATTAATTAAGAAACTCAACGCTTATATGTTTATATAGTTACGTTAGTGTGTATATTTTATCTAAGTGATCATGATGAATTGTTGTGTTTTTAATTGTAAATGTGGTTCAAAACTAAATCGTTGCATTTTCATGTTTTGCCAAAGGATCCAATTCGGTACGATTATTTGTTGGTGCCGTATTAACTAATTATAACTTTGCCTTATATAATTTATATTTAAATTTGGATATTTTTAAGAAACAAAAATAATAGTTGTACAAACATAACCTTAAAATAAAACATTTTTATATTTGAGTCCTCTAAAAAATAGTAAACGAGAAAATATATCTACGAATTCATGGCAACATAATATTATATATAATACATAATATAATACTCGATTATGGTCTTTTACCGTTGATTTTTACTGAATTCAAATGTTTACAATTTTCACGTAAATCATTACTAAAATTTGTATTTATTGTATCTAATAGGTACAATTTATATTTACAGGGACTGTATGCAATTAATTTTTTCATTCAGATTTCGACGGATTATTGGAAAACCGGTAAAAACTCAACCCAGCATTTTTCCCTCGATAAACAGACAATAACACAATATCATTCCACGTTTTTTTTTTCTGGATATTTTTAAAAAATTTCGGCCTTTTTCTAGTTTTTAGTTCTTAAAAGTTTAACATGATGGTTCTAGTTCTGTAATAAAATATACAGGATGTTAATAACATCCTGTATATTTTATTACAGAACTAGAGCCTGCCTAAATCAATTTAACTCTCAAACTTTGAAACACCCTGTATAAGCGATATATAAAAATATTGAATGCAGAGTTAAATAATTTATTTTCGCTTAATTTCTTAAATTTATTTTTCGACATCAATTCCTATTAACAAATGTGGCAACTGTTAAACTAATTTACTTTACTGTAATTGTTTAATATTAGGAAATGTTAATGTAAACAAAAAATATTATTCTACTGTTTACCATAATTATATTCACACATTTTTGTGATAAAACGAGTCTAGAACAAAAATATTTAAAACATTTTAGATTATTTAACTTTACGCTTATGTTTCAAAACAAAAAAATTATACTTTTTCATTAATAAAATTAAACAAAAAAAAATAAATTTATAAGTAAATATTTTTTTTTATTTTTAAGTATTTTAAATAAATAAATAGTAAAAAATAAATACTTACCTTTTGGGGCAGTAAAGGGCGTGCCAATTATTAAAATACTACTAAGGTTCTCCAAATACAAAATAGTAAAGAATTATAACATGCATTTGACAAAACTATGCAAAAATACTGATATCAAGAGCGAACCGTTAATAAAAAGTAATGGTCAGTTTAAGTGGCAATTATGGTAATAAAAGTTTAATTGAGCTTTTCGTTTTATGTTTTTATTGCTAAAAATAGGTACTTATTCAATATTAGGCATTGTTTTTTTATAAAACCTAATAAAAGAGAAAAATGTTAATTGAAAACTTATCAATGTATTAATCTTATTAAAAGGTCTATTATAAGTTATATATACTTAAAATAAAGTAATATAGAAAATAAAAAAATGGTTATTTTGTTAACAATATGTTAAATTTATTTGTAATGTATAATAATTATTAAAATAATATTACTGTTTACTTTGTTGCATACGCTAAGATATGTTTTATATATTATATAAAACATATCTTAGCATATGCAACACAGTAAACAGTCAGGTAATGGTAGTTGCATACTATAAAGTTAAATTTATTTAATTTTTAAACAGTTTTTGAAAAATATTAATGTCTGCGCATCCGCCATTTTTGCAACTTAAATTTGACAGTTTCCGTATATGAAAATTTCAGTAATTTATGGGTTTCGTGTTTCCAAACTTTTATTGCACTACTGATTAGCAGATTTCAGAATTGTCTGAAATATTATACAATTTGTAACCAGTGGCGGCTGGTGTATTTTGTGTATACCGATATCTCAATTATTAGATATGGGACCCACATAGAGTTGGGACAGTTGAAATTTTCAAATGAAAATTTCAACTTTGAAAGTTTCAAACTTGAAATATTTCATTTAGATGAAAAAGTGAAATTTTTAAAAATTTCAAATGAAATTTTCAATCCGAAAATTTCAACATTGCCTGTGAAAGTTTCGCATTTTACTGAAAATTTCCCTTAAATTTCACATGCGGCCTCCCCTGGGACCTTACAGCCTTTGGCTCATAAAATTTTGATGAAGTTTTTTCAATTTTCGTAAAATTTCGGTAAAATATTTAAATTTCGGTAAAATATTTAAAAATAATAAATATAAATATAATATTTAAAAATAATAAATATATATATATATAAATATAAAACAATGAAAGTGGCACAAACTCATTAGCTTACCAAAAAGTTCTATATCTCTTTTAGTTTTAGTAATTTTAAAAATATTTTAAAAGAAAATCTCAATAAATTTGTGGTAAACAGGTATTTTTTATTTATATTATTGGTGCAGGGGCCCACAGGGGTAGGAGGTAAGAGAGGCAATTTGCCATGGTCCCCAAATGGGCTTATTTCAATATTAATATATTACACTTAAAGTGATTGAAATTTATTGAAAGTTTCAATAAATTTCATGAAATTTCATAAATTTCATGAAATTTCAGAAATTTCAGAAATTTTAATAAATTTCATAAATGCCATGAAAATTTCAAGTACAAGCAAGAAGTGAAATTTTCCCAACCCTACCTATAAGTTATAGGTATATGATATTAACTAACACTTTAGATTATAGAGAGTTTTAAACAGTTTTTGAAAAATATTAATCTCTGCGCATCCGCCATTTTTGCAACTTAAATTTGACATAGATGAAAATTTCAGTAATTTATGGGTTTCGTGTTTCCAAACTTTTGTAGCAAAACTGATTAGAAGAGAATTGTCTGAAATATTATACAATGTGTAACCAGTGGCGGCTGGTGGATTTTGGGTACACCGATATCTTAACTATTAGATATGGGACCCACACCAAATTTATATGAGTTTATAATGACATTAAATAAACAAGTTCTGCGCAAGTTTGCGACAAAAATATAACTTTTTGCTTTGACTTACCGGCCCCATGGCGCCCCCAATAAATATAATATAAATTTAATTGGTGCAATTTATTATTTACCATAGTTTATCAACAAATTTCAAATTTCATTTAAAAAATATATTATATATATTATATATTATACCGATTTTATACCATTTTAAAGTTTTAATATTTCTATTAATGAATTCAGTCTTATTAAGTCTTAATTTTCAAACAGTTTTTGTGCTATCGCGTTGGGAAATAATTGGCATATAATATGTCAATTTTTGGCCAAACTTGATGAAAATACAAATTATATGTCCAAATAAACCCCAATAAATGTAAAATATTGTACACCAAACTTAGTTGGAAAAATGTTGACTAATTTCTTGGTTGTCTGGGACCCTCTGGGACTCTGGGTACCTACTACCCAAAATAAAAAAACACACCATTTCATTTTTTCCAACCTTAATGTTACACTTTGAATAGAGGATGTTGTTTTTAAATAAAACTCAACAAATAGTGAAAAATAAATCTATTTAAAAAACCTCGTGCTCTTAAATACATAGTAATACTTCAAAAAAACGCTCAACATTAACATTAAAAGGTACCCAAACTTATAACTTGGACATTCATTTTTTGGTCAAATGGTCGACCATCTGCTTGAAGATCAGCACGTTCTTGCCGTTGGCTTCCTCGTAGCCAGGGGCAACGGATTTGGCCTTGGCCAACCACCTGCCGACGTTCTTGTAGGGGGTCAGGTCGTAGTTCACGACCTCGAAGGTGGTGACGGTGGCGAGCAGGGCCAAATCGGCGACAGTCAACTTGTCGCCGGCGGCAAACTCAGACTTTTCCAGGAACGTGTCCAAGAACTTGAAGGCGTCGTTGATTTTCTCGAGTTTTGCTGCGTCAAAGGCGGCTCCTCCAAAGTAGACCGGGTACTGAAAAAATTGTCATCAAATTTTAGTTTTAATTTCTTGGTGAATAGTTTTAGAGTTCTGAAAAAAACGCGTTTTTTCTTCATCAAAAACCTTCTATAAAAATTTACTATAAACCTTTATAGTATAACCAATAGGGTGGGTCAAAAAAACTGACTATTTTTTTTTACTTTGTACTCTAAAAAATCGGTTACTAGACAACTTTAGAGAATTCTCACCAAACATGAGCTCTTAATTTTGATTTTCGTAAACCTCACCGTTAAAAAGATATCGAAGGTTAAAGTTTAATTATTTTAAGAGAAATTTCTGTTTTGCTTATGAATTTTATAACTCGCTTACAAAAAATTTTTATGAATCGCGCAACTCATAGTTTTGTAGGAAATTAACTGCTCTACAAACATGGTCTCTTATGATTTGTCGATTAAATTAAGCGTTTAAAAGATATTCATCGTCAAACTTCAATGCATACTAATTTTAACAGTTTTTAATGAATAATTCGAAAAATTTCAATTGAATTTTTGAGTTTTACGAAAATTTATACAAATACATTTATAATATAATCGTACACTTTTACTGTAAAAACTTTTTTCTACTTCTATTATGGAATATGACCGTTCTAATATCACTTTTATCTATGGAATGACATATATTCCGTAAAGTGTTACAGAATGAAATATTCTATAATCTGATGACAGAATAAATACTCGTGGCGACATCTCTGTTTTTAATATCTAACAAATTTTAGACCGATCCAACCTCACTTTCTTCCAATTAAATTATTTGTCTACGGTATTTTTTGGAAACGTAGAAAAAGTATAGTCTAAAACACGTTTGGAATTGCATATTCCCCTCTCGTGAAACCGTCAAACTCGCCTTCGGCTCGTATGACAAACTTTTCACTCGAGCGGAATATGCCGTATTCCAAACTTGTTACAGAATATACTATTCTGTATTACAATTTGGGTTCTGAACAAACGCCATAAAAAAGTAACAACTTGATCAGGATTTTAAGTTATTATAAAGATAAATTTCATGAAAATATTATTAAAATAAAAAAGTCTCAAATAAATTTTTGAAAGGGAAACTTCTATAAGAGTTACTTTTACGATAGAAACTCAAATTTGTATAAATTTTCTTAAAACTCAAAAATTAAATTGAAATTGTTTGAATTATTCATCAAAAACTGTTAAAATTAGTATGCATTTAAGTTTGACGATGAATATCTTTTAAACAAAATCATATGATAAATCATAAGAGACCATTTTTGTAGAGCAGTTAATTTCCTACAAAACTATGAGTTGCGCGATTCATAAAAAATTTTTGTAAGCGAGTTATAAAATTCATAAGCAAAACAGAAATTTCTCTTAAAATAATTAAACTTGAACATTCGATATCTTTTTAACGGTGAGGTTTACGAAAAAATGTAAGAGACCTTTTTTGTAGAGCGTTCGATTTCCTACAAGAATATGAGGAGAGTTATTTTTTAACGAACAGTTGTCGAAGATATATAAATTTTTGTTTCTAATACTGAGGAAAAAATGGAAAATTGTAAAGCGGAGGACCTTGTAATCAAAATTAAGAGCTCATGTTTGGTGAGAATTCTCTAGAGGTGTCTAGTAAGCGATTTTTCAGAGTACAAAGTAAAAAAAAAATAGTCGGTTTTTTTGACCCATCCTAATAACCAAGCAACAATTTAAGTATTTGTTACGAATATGGGACTATTGAAAAAACTGTGTTTTGCCGGTCTCTTTATATTACTCTTTCATTACCAAGTTACGACTAAAGTGGGGAACAATTATTGAGTTTCAAAAAGGTAGCAAATATGTCACTAGCTATAAACCCTGCTACTATTTGGAACGTAGCTGCTACGTTCCCTGATAACACAGTTTATTCTAAGAATGTTTTTTAAACCTTCCAGTGGGAATATTCTTAGGATCATGCTATATTTCTTCTAGTCATGTTCTAAGAATGTTTTTTAAACCTTTCAGTGAGAATATTCTTAGGATCATGCTATATTTCTTCTAGTCATGTTCTAAGAATGTTTTTTAAACCTTCCAGTGAGAATATTCTTAGGATCATGCTATATTTCTTCTAGTCATGTTCTAAGAATGTTTTTTAGACCTTCCAGTGAGAATATTCTTAGGATCATGCTATATTTCTTCTAGTCATGTTCTAAGAATGTTTTTTAGACCTTCCAGTGAGAATATTCTTAGGATTATGCTATATTTCTTCAAAAAGAACATGCTTAAAAGAAATATAGCATAATCCCAAGAATATTTTCACTGGCCCATAGGCAGGTTCTTAGAAGGTGCAAAGTTTAGTGGTAAAAATTAATCCACTCTAAACATATGCTTAGAATTTTGAGAAAGTAATTGCTATAGAAAGTTAATTTAGGAATATTCCTGGAACATTCTGTTAAGCATATTCAGTTCAGTTAGGTACCTATATAATAGTAAAATATACCATAATCTACGTATAAAGGTACCTATACTAAGTAAAAAACACAACCCAAAATATTTTTTATAGTTATTTGTCAAATTAAAACAATATTCGATAACAAAAATACTTTTACTATAGGTATCTAAATTATCCGGCTTTTACATAAAACCTTCTATCCAACTTAAATACAATGAAAAATGTTTTTTTATGAAGAACTATTTCATTTTTTCTTTTATGAAGAATTATTTTATATGGAAATATTTTGTTTTTTTATATTTTATTTAATGTTAAAAATAAATATTTATTAATTTGTATACCGATTTTTTATTTCTGAATTAAGATTTTTATGTATGTATGTATAATAATCCTAACTATCTTCAACTTCATTTTCACTTTAATCTAATCTGACTTATCTCACAAAATTTTCCAATTTTACTTTTTATGAAATAATGTCATACAACTTATGGTTTAAAGGTCAAATTGTTTATTTAATATTTTTAAATAAATATATATTAATATGTCGCAAAATTTTTTAAGGGGACGACAATTACATTTCACTGTCATATTATGACAGTGAGGCGTATTTGTCGCCTGAAGAATTTTAGGAATGTAGAATCCAACATATTAGAACGTGGGTATCTGACATATTTGGAAATATTCTCAAAAGCTTCCTAGAAGCTCCATAAGAAACCTTCTAAGAACATTCCAAAAAACGTATTCTTAAAATGTTCTTAGAATGCTTTTTAGGAAGGATTTAAGAAGGTTCTAAGAATATTCCATTATTCCGGGTCATATCTTCTTAGAAGATTCTTAGAATCAAATTTTGCTGTCAGGGTTGGAACCAAAAATGCTGCTTGGGTACTTACATAATAGTCAGCAAATCTTTGGTATAGAGTTCCGATGTCGAAGTACAATCTTTGGTCGACAAGGGCGCGTTTCTTGGGGTCTTTTGGGTAAAGGGAATCGTCTTTTCCATATTGGGAAGCCAAGTAAGTCAATATGGCTCTGCTTTCCCATAAGCAAAAACCGTTGTCGTCGATGGTTGGGACAGTGTGTTGTGGGTTAAGCTAAAAAGAAAAACAAAATAATAAATTTTTCAAAATGGCATTTAAGTTTAAAATCCTTTGTTAGATTAAGAGTCTTCATTGAAGACCACAGTGAAAATAGAAAGATGAAACTCGTTGAAATAGTTGTTTATCAAGGATGCCTTGGAAGGTCAACCAGATCTGGTGTTTACGGTACGCTAACCAAAAATTTAGGCCTATGTGTTTGACCCTTCTTTAGCGTAACAAATTACACATAATTATCTTGTTACAATTTTTAAAAGAAGCCATAAAAATATCTTAAATAGAACAGGAAACCACAAAGAATTTACTAAGGTTTTATCATGAATTTTTTAACACAATTTCCTTTGACATGTTTTTACATCAAATTAATAATGACACGAGAAATTAATTATGTATAATAAAAATCAATAAAAGTAATTGCGTTGTAACGTTTTTCTCAAATAATTAAAGTATGTTTCACTAAAATCTAAAATCTTGGTTTTCTTTGTGTTTTGTAACAAAACTTTTGTAAATTACAAAACAATTTAAATAATTAAAGCCTTAGGGTGGGAATTTCAGAGTATGCAAGTCATTGCGTGAAATGTCAGTTCCAAATATCATTGCTCAGCGTAGGTACTAATAATAAAGAATAGAAAGTAGAAATTGTATGCCTACACTTCTTGATAAACACGAACTAGAGCAAATAGATATTTTTAGAATTAACTCTTTGGTCTGTGCTATTTAAAGTTTTTTAACTTGTGTCTTTATTGAAGTATTAAGTATGATAAGAACAAGTTTCTTGGTATTTAATGAATCAATAGTCGTTCAGAAATTTCTAGCTTAAGAATCAATGAACTCTTTCTCTTTGAATACAAACATGGGCACGGTGGTCAAAACTTAAGTATATATAGGACGAACAAAAATGCCAACCAAAACTGAGCATTTTTTGATTATAGACCTTTTTGGTAACATTAACATGTATTTATCAAAATCCCAGCTGATCCTATTTTAAAGTTTTGCAAACTTTTTTGTTTTTCTATTTCTATATATTATTTTGCAATTATTGTACTAAAACTACCTGTACAATTTTAATAAAATTAAGCAAAATAATAAACTTTGTATCATTTAAATTACTTTACTCCCCAGTAATTATTTATTGAGTCACCTATTATTTTTTACCACTCAAAACAAAACATAACAAGAAAAAACGAAGATTTATAATTTAAATATTTTTTATAACAAAAAATACTGGAAGTTTGTCTATGAAATAATTACAACTTGCAAATTTTGTAAAACAATAATTAAGGTGGTTATGAAAAAGATTGCTATACGTTATAACGCAAGTGACATTTTGCTTTAGTTGTTTATTTAATGTATACTTTATAAAGTTTAAAATAGTATTTTAAAATGAAAATTAAACCGAAATTCAAGTTAAGCCGTGAAGAAAATCGAAAGAAGGTATGTGCTGGCTGTGGAGAAAAATTGTTTTTGGTAATCGAAAAATTCAGAGTTTAGGGTTTCTAAGAAAATATAAAAATTACTGCAGACTTTTTCAAACGAACACTTTAACTTAAGGTATTCAAAATTACCTACTTCAATATGGAAAAAACGGTATTTTTGCACAATTGCCAAATTTTCAAAATTTAGAAATTGCTAGAGGATTTCGCGGCAGCCAAGAATGTATGTGCTTTATCTGCAAAATGGCAAGATATAAAGGGCATACAAAATTATTAAGGGAAGAGGACGGACGAACTAACTAAAGTTTTGATATGCTCTTCCTTTCCAGGGGATATCGCTAGATGTAAGGAGCATGTTTGTACAGAGACTGAAGAATTTAAAAATACTGTTTCCATGTAAAAACAATTCCATGTAAAACCCAAGAAAAAGTTTTACTGAAAATTTAAGGCAAGCAGTAATCGATTTTGCTTCAAAGAATCTTTAGTTATTTATTAGTTTTGTATTAGGTACCTTAAAACAATAAATAAGATATTGCAAACAGTATTTTACATTATTTTGTATTTATAATGTAATTTATCCATATTTCAGTCATGTATCTTACAAATTTTTTTTGAAAATGGTACTAGAGTATTTTATCGAAATGGCATAAACAATTTTAAAATACTAAGAAATATGCAAAACTTTAATAATAAAGAAGCAGCTGGGATTTTGATAAATACATTTTTGTGTTACCAAAAGAGTCTATAATCAGATTATGCTATCAGTTTTGGTTGGCATTTTTGTTCGTCCTATACTTTAGTTTTGACCACCGTGTGGGGTTTAAATATTCTGGAAGAAATTTCTAGCTTAAGAATCAATAAACTTTCTTTTTAAGTTAAATTTTACGCAAAACTTTACTTGACATTAATAAAGGACAAAAGCATCTAAATTTATAAACCACTAACGCACTAGTCACAAGAGAGTGTTTAATAAAATGAGTGTCTATAAATGTTTATAATCAAGTTGAATAAAAATATTTTTAGTTATAAAAAATAATTTAAATATTTGTATCAAGCGAAATCTATAGAAAAATAGAGGAACCATATTGATGCTAGGAATCTGTTTCACCGACTTTAAAAATGTTATTTTGTCAAATTTTTCTGTAAAAATCAAAAATTATTCCTTAAAAATTTAAAAAACCGTTTAAATCTGATAACCGAGGCAATTTTTCACAGAGAAAGTAAATATGTTTGACATTTTTACATATTTTAAGAAACATTTTAGGGATTTCCTCTTACTCAGCATTATAATTATTTTGTAACCAACTTCCTTATACAACAACAGAGTTCTTTAAACCTATTGAATGACTTGGCCAAAATTAACTAAAAGTGACCTTGAATGTAATTTTATGTAATTGGCATCTGAAACACAAGATCTTATTATAAATTATTATTTATGATTTTGTTTAAAAATTAAATAATTTATTATTAAAATATTGTTTTTATTTAATATTGTCACTTAAATTCTAGAATACTAGATATCAGTTAAAATAAATACCTAGGTACCTAAGTAATTGTTTGTTATCTGATAAATAAATATTGACATTGATAATTAGTTGAAACTAAAGTACCTACTTAAGTGCAATTTATTATTAAATTAATAAATCAATGTTTGTAAATTTAATTTAAATACCACAAGGTTCTATTCTGGGAACGTTACTCTTCATAGAACCCATTAATGATAACAATCGCCTTTTTTAACATAAATCCTGAAAAAATATCATTCAATTAACTCACTTTGATAAATTCTGGTGTAAGATGTTCCCCCTTCATCAAATCTGTATGTTTGAGGTTGAGTTCGACTCCAAGGGCTTTAGCCACAAGAAGTACGGACCTGCATGGGGCCGATCCAGGGACGTAGTAGAAATCAATCGGCATTTTGGCTGAAAAAAGAAACGAAAAATGCTGTTACTGTACTGCAAACGTTTTATGTCAAAAAATAAATTAAATGTCGATATTGCACAACTTCCTGATGGTGTTTGTTAACCTAGTTGTCACTCTATAATTAAAATTAATCACTGTTGAATCAACAGTGTTGATTAATCCAGCATGTAACCTTATTTCATCACCGTTTTTAAGTAAAATTACCTTTTGTTATTCACAACACTGCACTTCTACAAAATGGACTGAACTGAACTGAATAATAAGCCGGCCGGCGTTCTGGTTTTATATACGTTGATGCTTTTTCCGCTCCCCGCTTCGTTTCTCATCAATGGTATGAGAAATAGTCGGTGTTGTTAGTTGGGAGTGATTAAGTTATTTCTAGAATAACATTAATAATTGCCGGTATAAACAAAACGTAGTGGATGAGTTGCGGATTTTTTTTTTGGGTTTTGATAATTTCACTTTCCGTTGGTTGATGATTTAAGATTTTTAAAAGAATATCGTTATCGGTTATTTGTTTAGCTTTATTAACCACTAAATAATGTAATAATATAATTATTTTACTAAATATTTAACGATCACTTTTTTTAAGTTTCCTTTGGTTTAAGTTTTAAACATTATTTTATTCGGTGATAATTATCAATTGCGCACCATGGTCACTTTTTACCTGCCAGCATTAAATCCTTTAATTTAAATTAAAATTGTATTATTTTTAATAAAAGGTAAAAAAACATTATTTTGTCAATTAATTAATTTAATCCTAATTGAGGTGTAAAAATGGTATAATAATTATTATTGAGGTATAAAGAAACTATTTATACATAGTTTAGCATTATTTAATCAATTTAGTTCGAAGATTAATTTGCAAACAAAAATACCTCCTTTCGTTAAGCAGTTATTCATAATGGATTTTTTAACAGTGGAAGAAAAAATAGAAATGATTTTGATTTATGGAGAAGCAGGCACCTACTTTAATTAAAATTTAAAAAATAAATAAATAAATTTAAAAAATAAAACCAAGTATTATATTCAAAAATTATTGGAGAATCGTATGTATGTATACAGAAGAAAAATGGAACAAAATTGATTTTTTTTCATTACAGCGCCATCTATTACAAATATGAAAAATGTTTTAGACAAAATCTACCTATTTTTAGTCGAATGATCCGAATCTGAAATAAAAAATAGGGTGTTCCGTTGGAAATTTTAAAGTTACCCCCTGTTCCCCCTATAAGGAGGAGAGTATGAGGACCAATTTTAGTACTGATTGATTTACCCCATCGAATCATTTAATTTTTATTTTAAACAATGTTTCGTAAAATGTATAATAACTGAGATATTTCAAAGTTTTAAGTTAAATGACTCACCCTGTATATATAGATTATTTTACATTATATAGGTAAATTAAAAATATAATATTTTAATTAAATTCACAAATTATTTAAAATATTGATTTTATTAAAACATCAAAAGGCTTTTTTAAAAATTGGTATAGTATATTATGGTATTAATATTTTACATTATATAAATTATTTAAATACATCAAATTAATGTTACTAGTACTAACTTAATACACAAGATACAAACATAAAATTATTAACCCACCTAATAATAATAATAATTATTAAAATTATATCGATCTAAAAACTACAATATATTCTAATGTAAATATACAATATTGAACCTTTATTTCAATAAATATAAGTGAAATAATCAATACTTAAGTGTTTTATTAATGCTCTGATTTTATTAGAAATAAAATTAATATTAATCAGTTGTGTAGGTTGGTTCTTATTATTCAATTAAAACAAATCAATAGATCAGTAGGCAAGGTAATAGCTAAAAGGTACTCTTGATTTACTCATAAAAAAATAAATTATTATACAGGGTGTTCCTAACCTACGGAAGGCTTATTTCATGACTAAAAACGTATGCAATCAAGTGCTTCGTTAGCGATCTACACTGTATTCTACAGGGTGTTGAAATTTCAAGATTATTTTTGTCATCTTTATTGCTCCTGAAATATTTAGCCCAAATTTGGAATAGGTATACCCAGCAAACCAGGCTGTTCCATTTACATAACCATGATATAACTAACAAAGAACATTGCCATATAAAATTGTTTACATAACATTTACATATTAGTTATTTATTTTGTTACATAATTATGATAAAACATAGTAATATAACATTTATATAAATATGTTCCCCTCTTGTTATATTTACATCCCCCTTATGTATCAACTTATATAACAATGTTATATATCTACAATGGAACAATGATACATCATTGATATATGGCAATGTTTTATAGTATCCATATAACCTTATTATATGGTATTTACATAGTTTTTCTTTATTTTGTTACATAATTATAATAAAAAAATTTAATATAATAGTTATATCAAAATGATCCCTTCTTGTTATATTTACATCCCTATTATGTCATGGCTATATAACAATGTTTTATACCTACATTGTAACAATGATAAATAAATGTTATATATTAATGTTTTATAGTATTTATATAGCCTTTTTATCTTACTAACGAACTCGTTTAAACCAGAGACAAGGGTCTCTGGTTTAAACGGTTGTGTCGAGTGCTCTCTATTGTGTTTTAAGTTAAGTTAAGTTTGATTCCATTTTTTTATAATAAAATGGAAGACAAAAATAGAAAAAAATATATTTCCCTATCCCGGAGGCAAAAGCGGAGGAGAATTAATGCAGATCTCAAAATAATGGGCGTGGAGGTAAGAAATTGTATAGAAAATACCCAAGACAATGTGGAATATACTGAGCCTAAAACCGAAGTATTATCTTTCCCTAACCAGCCAATAAATAAACATATAATAAAAATATTTTTACAGAAAATATGGGAGAATATTCAGGAGGTCATAGGAAAAATACCCATACTTTTGTGGAAGATTTGCAAGATTTGTGTAATAGATCTATACTTATCGATACTTACCTAGTCAACTTTTTATTAATGATCTGTTAAAAGTTTTGAGAAAACATTATTGCAAAAAGAAGTAGAGGCTGAATTTGTAAGTATATATATAAAGGGCGATTTTAAACCTGTTTAATAATGTTAATTTGTTTTTAAAACAGGGTGCTAAAAAACAAGCGACAAATTATAATTTAATGATATTTGGTAGCCAAAATAAGAGTTTAATTTCTATATTTTTTTTAACTTTATACTGTTTTTTCAACTGGTACTTAAAAGATACAATAATTTTGCTAAATAACCAAGATGGATACACTTTTTTATTATAATTGTTGTGACAATTAATTTTATGCAAATTCCATATTTTTCATTATTTTTATATCTCTTAAGGTTGCAGGGTGCATTTGACTTGAATAAATAAAATCAAACAAATTATTATTTGTACCAAATATCATTTACATAACTACATAAAGAATAGTTGTTCTTTGTTTTGAAAACAAATCAATAAACAAAAATAATATTAAATTGTATTTTTTTTCAGTTTCAGTATTTAACAAAAATTGGAGGCGTCTCAGAGAAAGATGCCACAGTAAGAGTTTTAAAGAAAATCTTCTCAAATAATTTGGCAAAAGATTGCTCTTGGCTGGGGCTAAGAAACAACAATAAAATTCAAAATTTAAAATCTGTTGAAATATTTATTGAAGTGTAAAAATGTAAATTTTATGGGATTTTTTATTAAATAAGTTTTTTTAAGCTGCTGTGTGCACTTCGACAGACAAAAATTTTGAAGGCTTAGTTTCCAAATGGTTCCGGCAGGCCAAACAAAGATTTGGTATACCCTATAGGGAAGCAAAAAACCCATGAAAAAAAGGTATATCTATTAATATTAAATTCATGGGATTGCTTTATCTTTTTTACCATATATTTTTTAGCTTTGAAGTATTAATGTATTTGGGATTTTTTTTTGTTTGGAAAAACTTTTCGTTTGTTTTAAGAAGTTAGAAAGAAGAAATGATTTATTTTTTTTTTTAATTAAAATAATTTTTAATAAACATTTAAACCAATTTGTTTTTTTAATCTCTTTCAGAATCATTTATTTTTGTAATGTTTACTTATTATTTATGTAATATTTATTTATAATTTATTTAATATATTATCTAACTGGCATTAACAATTTCTTAGTTCTAATTTGGTATTATGGCAATTTTTTTTTTCAAAAAATTTGCCATAATACCAAGTTAGGGCTAAGCAATTTTTAATACCAGTAATATAATATATTACATGAAATTATATTTATAAATATTTCATAAATAATATGTAAATATTGCATAAATTATATATAAATAAGTAAATGGAACATTTATGTAAATAGAATATAATTGTTTTATCACGTTTACATAACTATGATATGGCGCTGTAACATTACAGTTACATATCTATGATAAAACACTGTTACATCACAGATACATACCCAGGAAGGGGTCTTGAGGCGGACATAGGAGCATCGCCATTACATATAGGTGACATAGGTGTTGCATAGTAAGGAACAATTTTTATGTAAATGTTATATCACTGTTACATAACTGATATGGCGCTGTAACATTACAGTTACATAACTATGATAAAACACTGTTACATCACAGTTACATACCCAGGAAGGCGTCTTGAGGCGGACATAGGAGCATTGCCATTACATATAGGTGACATAGCTGTTGCATAGTAAGGAACAATTTTTATGTAAATGTTATATCACTGTGACATGATTTAGTTTGCTGGGTAGGTTTGGCTGTAGGGCTTGCCAAATGATTATGGGAATCTACAGGGCGATATTTTTTAGGGATAATGCCCATTTCCTCCCCTGAATTTTTTGCGGTGCGCCGCTGGTAGATAACAAGAAACACAATGAACTTTCTGTTTTGTTTAGAAACCTGTTGGTCTCTTGTAGTTTCTTCTTATCTGCGACCATTTTCGAGAAAAAAAATAAAAAAACGTTTTTGAAGCAATGATTATACTAATTAGTAATCATCACTGATTAAATTGTAATCATTAAAATACAAAAAAAAACAAATAATAGGCTTAACAAAAAAATTACGTTACAACAATTGTCGAAAGTGGTCTTCTCACAATCATTTTACACGTCCAATGATGTAAGCCTTACAGTGTATACATACCGTATGTATGTGTGTAACATACGGTTAAAACCAGGGGCGTAGCTACCGAGGTATCAGCCGTATCAATGAAACGGGGCCCCCGGCTAGGGGGGCCCCCCGATTGACTTCGACATATTACCCATATGTTAAAAAAAATTGA